TATTAAGGATGGCCAGAGACTGCAAATACTGCTGGGCAGAGGCCCAGTCTCCTCCAATTCTCACACTGCCTTTTATAGCAATGGGAAGGGGAAAGGCAGCAGCAAGAAAACCTGCTAGCCCCATCCAAAACAAAATCCACCAAATAGCCCCCTCTCACACGCTACCTTGGCTACAACCTCCTCAGAAGAAATGATAGAACGGATGAAGGCTGCAGTCGGCTGTGCGCAGCACTCAGAAATGGGACAGGTGCATTTGAGGACCGTGTTTTGCTCAATGCAGGTTGTGAGATACTCACGCCAACAGGGCTGTGAAGGCAGAAGAGTATAGATCACAGCTAAACAAACAAAACCACCAGAAACCATCATTAAGTACTCAAAAGCATAACAGTGGAAAGAGACTGAACAGGGGCTGAGGGGCTTTCAGAATTGCAGAAACTGAAAAGAGAGTGAAAAAAAAATCTGTAAAAAAGTATCATCTGATAACAGTTTCAAGAAAAAAAAAAGCTCAAGTTTAGCCCTTCCCTTCCAAGTTACAAGAGCCAAAGACCCCACGACTTTCACCTTGCAGCAGTAGTGCATGCAGCAAAGGGCTGGTGGGCTTTCAGTGGGGCACAGCTGGCTCATGCACACTGGGCAGTGTGTTCCTGGGCTTGGAGGGTGCTGAGCGCCCTGCACTTGTAGCCCTGATGTGAATAGCAATTTCTCACAGTCCTCCATGTAGTACTGGATCAGGAAATCCACATTCCACCTGCAGTGCATGAGGAGATGCTGAGCAGTGTCCCTCGGGATGCTCAGGGTCTCCTGGACTTGCTGTACTGCCTGGTTCATGAGCAGCTTCGCCTCTTCCACACTAAGTGTGTGTGCCATCGGCATACGCAGCATCGTCGTGAGAAACTCTTCTGAGGTGTCTAGGCCAGGATCCAACCTGACATGGAGAAGGACATACTTCTCTAGAGGGGAGATGCCACCACATCAGCCCTGCACATCCCTTTAGACCCAGTGACATGTATCCCTACCGACACAGGGAGCCTATGCTGTCCTCATCCAAAGAGGCCTCTGATGCCAAGCTGCAGAAAACCAGCTGTGCCTGGCCCCCGAGAGGCACTGTTGGTTCTGCGGTGTACTCTAAGACCTGAGGCCTCCCCTGCTGGCGCCGTAGGTAGCCCTGGTTCAGCAGGTGCAGGACGCAGGACAGCACGTCCACGCTGTGGCAGCAGAAGCTCAGAAACTGCAGGCCCGGGCCCAAGCCGCCCTTCTGACAGGCATCCATCACCTGCGGCGGTGACGGAGCCTGCGTTACGCCACCACACAGCGCCGCCTGGGCCCCCCTGCCTCCCCAACCRCCTCTTGCCCTCGGTACCCTGAACACCAAGTTGTCAACGTGGAGCTGCTGCTCCGCCTTGAGGACRCGAGTGATGAGGCAGCAGAGAAGGTTCCTTTTCCTCTCCAAGGCGGCCCCAGCGGTGGCCATCTCTGCCCTGAGGTAGGTCTGCTGGGGCAGCAGCCTCAGGTGCCGGCCCGAGGCGCGAGCCAGGGCCGCTCGGTTCAGCTGCAGAGCCCCTGGAGGCAGCAGCCAGCCCAGGCTCAGCCTGGYGCGGAGCAGGGCCCCACGAGAGCCCCAGAGCACAGCAGGGCCAGCGAGCCCGGCCCCTCTCCACACCTTCCCCTGCTGCTTCCCCCCACGTCACCCCCAGCCCAGCTCGTGCACAGCTCTGCACCCGGCCGCACGCACCCCCAGCCCTGCTCCCACCGCGCCCCAGCCCGAACCGGGCACGAGGCTGCAAGACCCCACACTCAGCCCCACGCAGAGCCCCGAGCTGCAGCCCCGGGCCCAGCCACAACCCCCAGCACTGGCATAGACCGGCCCGCCCCATCCCTCCCCAAACAAGGCTCTACCCCAGCAGGCACTCGCACCCCCCGCCGGGGGGCCCGGCCCCACACTCACCCCCCCGCGTGCAGCTCTGCACCACGACGCCCTCGTCGCAGGTCAGCGGGGCCAGGGCCTGGTGCACCAGCTCAGCGGGCAGCCCGGTGGCCTGCAGCAGGGCATCCACGGCCACCTCCTGCCACCAGGGCACAGCAGAGAGCCCTGTTCAGCCACAAGCCCCCCGCAGGAACYACCCTACAAGCGGGCCTGGCCCCAAATGCTGCTGGAGACCCCCAGCAGGCAGCACAGGGCCCTGCTGCACCCCAGCTCCAGCGCTCAGCCCAGCACAGTCCTGCTCCTACCTCGGCACCATTGAAGAGCAGCAGAACGTACATCTGCAGCGTGGACACGTGCAGGACGCAGTCGCCAAAGMGCAGCTCGGCGTRGCCCAGCCACGTCCACTGCAGCCGCCGGGGCTTCGTGCACTGCCAGCCCAGCTGGCTCTGGCCTGCCGCAGAGACGGGGTGAGCGCAGCAGTCGGGGCCTCCCCACGGAGCCCAGGCCTCCGACCGCCTCTGCCATGCGAGGGCCCGCGCCCCCACACTCACTCTGCCTCCAGAAGGCGCCAAACTCCGTCAGGGAGGAGCTGAGGGCCGCCGAGAAAAACCTGCCGGGCTCATCCAGGTAGCAAACGGGGGAGACGGGCCAGCAGCGCGGGGACAGCACCAGCACCTTCACCTCTGGCGCCTGCGCCAGGGGCACTTCTCCCACCACCTGGGCACACACACAAGRGGGCTCAGCACAAGGCCTGGCACCCACAACGACACGGCACCTCCCTGACCCACTGCACCACTCACCTCGTCCTCGGGGCTCTCCAGGCCTGTGTYCAGCTCCAGCAGCTGCTTGTCCTGCTCCTGCAGCTGGAAGAGGTGAAACTGCTGCTGGAGCTCCTCTGCCTCGGCCATGTTGCTCAGCATCTGCTGGGGGAAGCGGCTGGGGAAGCACAACCCAAGCTGCTCCACAACGGCCCCTTCCAGCCACGAGGGCCCCTGCGCCAGCAGACGGTCCCCCAGGTAGTACCTGCCACAGCCACCAACATCAGCACAGCGCCGGCCTCAGCCCCGCTCCAGCCCCACAGCCTCAGCCACCTGCCAKCTGCCAGCGCTGGCCTGGCCGCCCTCGAGCCACACGCACACACGGSCCCCTCACCGGTAGAAGTGCTCAAAGGAATGGCTGAGCTCCAGGCCACAGAGGATGACAAAGGGCTCCAGGAGCCGCTGCAACGACCCCGTGCTGCCCGTGATCCCGCGCAGCTCCCGCACCTGCCCGTCCAGATAGCGGGCAAAGCGCTCRCTCACCTGCAAAGGGACAGGGACGGCTGAGGAGGGGCCCCCATGACACGACTGGGCAGGGGCCGCAGCCCTGAGCTGCGACAGAGCTGGGGACCCCCTACACCCTGCACAGGGGCTGCTGTTGGGGACCCTTTCCACTCCCTGCGCAGGGGCCTGGGGTGTCCCCAACAGCAGCAGCCCCACACAGGGGTTGTGTCCCCAACAGCAGCAGCCCCTGCGCAGGGGTTGTGTCCCCAACAGCAGCAGCCCCGCACAGGGGTTGTGTCCCCAACAGCAGCCCCAGCGCAGGGGTTGTGTCCCCAACAGCAGCAGCCCCGCACAGGGGTTGTGTCCCCAACAGCAGCAGCCCCGCACAGGGGTTGTGTCCCCAACAGCAGCCCCAGCGCAGGCAGGCGCAGGGCCCGGGGCAGGCAGCAGCCAGCACTGACGGCACCGAGGGCTGCAGCGGGGCTCCCAGCGCAGGCGGCTGCCCTGAGGCGGGGATGATGGAGGCAGCCTGAAGCCCCTCAGGGATGCAGGCCCAGAGAGCTGCCGCAGCCCAGCCTGGGCAGGGCTCCGTGCGAGGGCCAGGCTCCCCGGCCCTGCTCAGACTCACGTGCAGGGCAGCYGGGAAGGAAAGGTGCAGCAAGGCACCCGCAAAGCCCTGCGCCAGGGCCAGCGCAAAGGCAGCCTGCTGCCCGAAGAGCTCTGCTGTGGCCCTGTGCAGGCGCCAGTACAGCCCGCAGTATCTCTCCACGACGTCCGGTGCCCGCCACGCCACGTCAAGGAACCGCTGCACCTGTGGGGCATGGGGAAGAGGTGTGARCYTGGAGCGGGGAGCTCCTGGGCCTGGCCCACGACTGCCCACACCGACCCTGYGAGGCTCCCGCTGGCCCCGTTGAAGCCTCTCCACAAGCCCCAGGCTACCGTGAGCTTGCCGAGGGGCAGGAGCGCAGCTCAGAGCTGTGCAGGAGCAGGACAGAGAAACGCAGACGCTGCCCAGCAAGAAAGAAGTAGCCACTCGGCCCCACAGCCTCCAGAATCACACCCAAGGCGTGCTGAGTGGCATAAGGGAAGGAAGCCCAGACCGCGAGAGCAGCAGGACTGACTGCCCCGTCTCTCCAGCCCCTACCCTGGCTGGCCTCAGCCCAGGGCCCTGCCAAACCCAGCCCCAGAGCAGGCTCCTGCTGCCCCTCCTGGCCCTACCTGCTGCTGCACCACCTCACGCCAGCACCGGGAGATGCCCCACCGGCTGCTCAGCTTCTCCATYACTGCCGCTGCTGCCCCAGCTGACACCTGCTGGTTCTCCTCCTCCTTCCCACCTGCCAGGGGACAAGTGCGACGCTCAGTGGGACTCCACATGCTGGCCCCACACCAACCGCAACAGCCTCCCCTCCTCCCGTGAGGCCTTGGGGAAGGGGGGAGCAGTCGCACCCAGTGCAGCCAGGCCTGGGCGGGGGATCAACCACAGCCTCTCAGGCCCCACGAGAGCAAAGCCCCCTCTCACCATCACTACCCGCAGCTCGGGCCTCCTCCAGYCCTGCACCGCTGGGCTCCACGTGCGCCAGCAGCTGGCTCAGGCACCGCACCTGGGAGCTGAAGACAGCGCTGCGGCTCGAGGCCCCGCGCGGCACCTCCCCGCTCTCCACGTACTTGCTCAGCAGCCAGGCCAGGGGGCTGATGCCACTGGCGTCTGCAAGGCCAGAGGCTCGGAGGCTGCTCTCTCGGGCTGCTGCGCGGCAGGGAGGGCGCACGCGAGCACAGGATACCTGGGCTAGTGATGCTCTGCACCAAGGGAGTCACCAAGGCCTCCCAGTAGGTCCTGCCCAAGGCCTGGGCCGCCTCCTCGTCGGGAAGGAAGCGCTCGGCGAAGGCCTGCTCGTGCCGCAGGGCTCGGGTCAGCCTGCAACAGCCACCGCACAGGGCACAGCAGGGCCAGGCCCCACTGGCAGCCAGCGAGGGCATTCCCTGTCCTTGCCCGGGACATCCTTCACAGGCCTCGCCAACGTGCCAGCCCTGGCACAACAACCCGCTGGGGACGCACAGGAGCTGTGCCCACAAGCCTCACCCTGCAGCCCCTCCTCGCTCCCCAYGGCTGCCAGCAGCCAACAGCCCTCGCGCAGCGGGCGCAGCGCAGAGCTGCCGGGCAGAGCTCACCTGCCAAAGAGCTGCAGCAGGCGCCCCCGGTCCTGGCAGATCTCCTGGCACCACGCATGAGCCYGCACGCTGCAGAAGAGGGACGTYCGCCRGCACAGCTGCTCCTTGAAGACAGGCCAGAACGTGGGCCTGGGACCCAGCACCTCGATGCCTCGCACACGCGTGTCGATGCCACCCTGGGGGACAGCACAGGCCTCAGCTCCKCGCACGGAGCCCCGGGGCCCACAGTCGACCCCGCGCACCAGGTCCGCCACAGCTGCTCTACCTGCTGGCACCGCTTCACCCGGATCTGGATGACGGGCCAGAAGCGGCTCATGCTCTGCAGCAGCGTCACTCTGCTGTCCGAGGGCAAGATGGTCACCTGTGGGCAGGCAGAGCCCTCAGCAGCCGCGAGCCCTCAGCACCGCGGAGCGCCAGCCACGCACGCGCGTCCCCGCTGCCCGGCACACGGGGCCACGGCCTCCATCACGCGCCCGGCCCCGTGCACAGCCGCAGGGCAGCCAGCGGCTCCTGCCCAGCAGCCGGGCCCCAGGGAGCGGGAAGCCAACTCACCGCGTTGAGCACAGTGGTGATGGTCGCGGGGCTCTCTCCCCCCAGCACCACCACACGGGCGGGCATGTAGCTGGAGTCCTCRCTGGCCACCAGCATGCTCATCTCCCTGCAGCACGGCGGCCACGTCACCGACGGTCGCAGGCCCCAACAATGCCCTCGCCCTCTCGCCCGGATCCTGCCGGCCCCGCGYGTCACCACCCATGYCCAGCAGCCCCCATGTTGGCTTGGGCAGGGCTCACATGGGCCCCGGCAGCCCTCGGCCTTCCCTGCCCCACGCTGCCCCCAGCACCAGTCCCACCTGATCACCACGCCGCACTGCATGTGCACAGTGATGGAGTGGGAGCCAGTGCTGCCACTGGACTCCCAGTAGCTCTTCGGGTTGCCGTCCGTGAGCTTGCTGGCACGGTGCGGATTGGAAGAGACCTGCACCTTCTCCCAGCACTTGTCCTCCTTCACCTCCACGCTGGAGCCTGGGCGGAGAGGCCACCGGGCTGCCAGCTGCCACACGGCAGCCAGACCCCCTGCCCGCAGCCCCGCTCACCTCGGCACAGGTTGCACAGAAAGACATCCAAAAAGGGGATGCTGATGGGCTGGAGGCTCCGGCGATGCTCCTCAATCTGCCCCAGGACCAGCTGGGGGACGGGCTCTTAGTGGGGATCCCGGGCCCTCCCAGGCTGGGCAGGGGCAGGTAGCTCYGCTGGGCCCAGGACACCCAGGGGGCCCTGACCCCAGGCCCGTCCCGCGCTCCCCAGGCCCACCTGGATGCAGCCGGCCAAGACGCTACTCGTCAGCCTCCGGTAGAGGCTCGCGTGCTTCTCGTAGCTGTTCAGCAGCTCGCGCAGGGCTGGTGCCACGGGCAGAGCCGCGCCATRCTTATCCAGGGCTTTGCCCAGAGCCTCGACAGCGCCCGCACAGCACATGGCCACCGCACAGTCCTTGCTGGCRCTGGCCAGGCGGTGCAGGAAGCCAACGACCTCCTGGGCCACCTACCGAGGAAGGGGCTGTGAGCACCTGGGCCGCTGCCGRGAGCACGCGAGCAGGCGGTGGCACTTCAGCCCTCCCGCCCGGATGCCGCAGCGGCGCCTGCGAGAGCCACGTCAGGCACCATGTGGGGCACCCAGCCAGGGGACACTGCCACGGCCCCATCCCAGCGGGGCTGCCACAGCTCGGCAGAGCCTGACGCGGGCAGAGAGCAGCCCCAGCAGCCGCTGCGCAGCCAGCAGAACCTGCTGCCAGATGCCCAGGAGCTGCTCACCTCCTGCTCGTTGCTGTGGGCACTCAGGGAGGACAGACAGGGCTCAACGCACTCATGCCACGGCAGCACGTCCTCCTGGTACCCRTCCAGAAACTTGTTCAGGATCCTGCAGGAGGGAGGAGGTCACTGAGGCAGCAGACACAGGCAGAGGAAGCCCCGGCCCCTGCTCCCCCAAGGCGGCTGGCACCTCATGGAGGTGGAAAAGGGGCTGCCCTCAGTGGCTCCCCACTCACTGCACTGCCCTGCCATTGCTGCACCCCCAGCAGCGCCGGCATGTGCTGCAGAGCCCCAGGCTCTGYGACAYCCRCACCAGCCYGTGGAGCTGCCTCGGGACCCACCTGAGCACGCTGAGGCTCGCGGCCCTCTCTGCGGCCAGCAGCCGGAGACTGCGCAGCAGCAGCGCGAAGCACTCGCGGTCCTGCAGCAGCGCGGCCATCTGGCCCRTGGGGACRCGGCCCTGGCGGCAGAGCTGCCTCTCCAGGGCCACCAGAGCCTCCCTGCAGAGATCGCCCTGCCCCAGGCTGCCCACCAGTGTCCGCACGTCCACGTCTCCCAGCTCCAGCACAGACTCAGCACCTGCCAGGACAGAGGGGACATGCAGCGCTGGCGCTCACGCACAGCCGGCGCAGGGCCCCTGCCCAGGCGGCAGCACCTGCCTCGTCCCCATGTCCCCGGGGGGGCGTGTGGTACCTGCCAGCCCCGAGCCCAGGGGCACCTCGTGCTCCGCCAGGCGGTTGATGGCGCTCAGRGCCAGCGTCCTGCTGGGGCAGCCCRGGCTCGGCGYCTCGAGCCAGCAGCTCCGCAGCAGCGGGCCAAGACCGCAGCTCGCCAGCTGCTCTGCCAGGCCCCGGTGGCCCTCGAGCAGCACGTTCAGCACCAGCAAGCCGTTGCACACGCCCGACGAGCCCCTGCGGRGACACTTGTGCTGGCACCATKCTCCTCACGYGRCCSCGAGGCCCGACTGCCCCACATCTCCCCTCGCCTCCCCCGGCCTCCCCTACCCTGCGAGGCTCCGCATGGCACTCGTGGCGGCGGCGATGGTGCCCAGCAGGCTCGCCGGGCCCACGCCGGAGGCAGAGCCRATGCTGGCGAAGATCTCCCGCATCACCTGCGCGTCGGCGCTGCTCAGGGCCCACGGCTTCCCAGCAACGTCTCCCGGCTCCCCGCTGCCTGCTCCCACCAGCACCCGCAGGGCCTGCGAGGCACTGGTGGTCACGGGGGTGGCGGCGGCCCCCAGGCCYGGCCCTGCCCRGCTCCGCCACGCTCACCGCCAGCCCGGCCTGCTGCACTGCGGCGGAGGCCGYGCGCTGCTGCATGCAGCCCAGCACGGCCCGCACCCCGCCTGCCGTGGCGAAGGGCACGCGCCAGTCGCACTTGGCCATGAGCGCGGCGAGCAGCCRCAGCGTCAGCGCCGCCTCAGCCGTCTCCATCGCCTCCGTGCTCAGCAGCTCCACGAGCACCTGCAGCACCTTCTCCCTGTGTGCGTGGGCAAGCGCAGCTCAGCRGGGCTGCCGGCGCTGCCGCAGGCATCCCCAGCCCTGCCGGACGCCTCCTCCCTGCCCTAGCSCCTCGGGGCACCGTCRGGAAGGAGCAGCTGCCCGKCCCCACACACGCAGCACCCRCCTCCTCACCAGCGCCCTTGCCGCAGCCTGCACACCTCCGCTCCCACCACCGCCTGCTGCCACCTCTGCCACTCGTCCCCTCGACGGGGACACAGCCCCTCTGCAGGCAGTGGTGGGGACCCGCCAGCCCCAGTGGGGCTGCAGCAGCTCACACCGCTCACCGGGCTCCTGGCCCGCCCGGCCCTTTGCTGACATGCCGCTCCAGCCCGGCCTCCTCCTCCAGCAGCTGCAGCATGTGCTGAAGCCCAGCCAAACGCAGGCCCTCCTCGCAGCCACTTCTCTGCATCGTCTCTGCCACCTCCACGAGCTTCGCCAGAGAGCCCCTCTTGCTGCCCCCCTTGCAGCTGCCCAGCACTGGGAGGAAGGAGAGAGGCAGAGACCGCTCTCAGCAACGCAGCAGGGCCCAGCAGCACCCCCGGCCGCACACACCACCGTGCCCAGGGCTCCTGTGCGCGCCCGTGGGCTCCCTCCCGCCAAGCCACAGGGGCCTCGGCAAAAAGGGCCCTGCTGCACCCTCCGGGCCAGCCCAGGCCCTGCAGGCACTTACGTTTGCTTTGCTCCTCCGTCACCTCAGGAAAGAGCAGCCCTTCCCTGCRGCAGAGCTCGCTGAACAGCAGCGCATCCGACTTGGCCGCTGACACCGCAGGGGCTCGGGGCAGCAGCGCTGCTGYGGGGCCCTCTYCTTCCACTATCCCCACAGCCTCGGGGCTGCTGTCCCCGCTGCTCTGCGAGGGCCCTGTGGGGCTCTTGTCGCCGGCCCGCTCAGYCCCACAGTTCAACAGGTACTTGGCATAGACACGGGAGGCGCGGAGGGGGCTCAGGGCGCTGTCCTGGCACCGCTGCTCCAGCGCCCGCAGCACCTTCTGTGCCAGCGCCACGGGCACCGACAGCTGCATCAGGCCTTCTTCACCCAGCGCCGGCACCTGGGCGCACGGAGCCACGTTAATGCCCTGCAGACTCCCCGGGAGCCCCTGCCCACGACAGCCGGAGCTGAAGCCAGGGCCGGGCTGTGGGCACCGTGCACAGGAGCGCCCAGCCCCAGCCTCCCCCAGCCCCAGCCCAC